TGTATTACTGACAAGACTTTTAAGTAGTATATAGATACAGATGGAAATCTATATATCATCTGCAAGAATAATGAATAGCACACAGATGGATTCAGGAGAGAAGAGAAGAAATGAATGACGCTTGTGAAACAACTTGGAAAACATGAAAGGAAGGCAGAAGTAGCACAATATGGAAGATGTATGCAAATTGTGATTTCAATTTTTTTTCAATTTCCAAAAATTCTTGTTTTCCATGGTTACATTTGGTATCAGTCCCTTTGAACAATGAAGATCCCATGGCCTGGGGCTTTTGAAGAAAGAGACATATAAGGCCTCTTGCTTGACTTCGATGCTATGTCTGAATCGGTGGGCGTCTAGGGTTCAGTGGCGAAGATGGTTGTACCAGGGAAGATTCTGAGAGCTCAGGAGTAGGTGACATACGAAGCTCACAAGTCTACTTCTTCGTGGGCTTCTCACAATTGATGTGGAGTAAGAGAGGCAGTTGTTGGCTTCTAGGTTTATCGGAAGTATTCTAGAACACACTGCTCAGCAACTACAAGTAGCCAATACTGCATAACCCATGGTCCTAGATGAGATCGCGTGGGTAACCAGATGGGTACTGAGAGGAAATATAACCGTAGAAAAGAAGACCATTTAGGAACAGAACTATTTACTAGCGATTAGAAGTACAGCTTTAGGCAAAGTACATATGGTACATATTAGAAAAATACACTTTGCACATGTCTTCTATATTGTGCAGCCCGTGTCCTCCATTTTAGGATTCCCTTTCTTTCATTCATGCTTTTTATTTGACTTCATAGACCTCTTTCATTTCTTCTCCTTGCCACTTAATCCACCTCACTGCTATACAACGTTGTTAAAGATGATACGCAGATTTATATCTGTTTCTATATTCTACTTATAAACATTTTCAGTAGAATACACACGTACTAGTTTAGCTTAGGAGTTGACTAGAAATGTTTATTTTTGTAAGAAGTATGTGGATAGCATCACAGGTATTTGCAACAAATCTATGGATGTCACATAATTTCTTAAGCGGATGAATACATTACAAACTAGCGAGCATATCGTGAGCATGCGTAAAATAAAATGACGATTACTTATTCCCTGCAAATGTACTCGTAATTTACCGACAGAATCGATCAGTAAAGTTATCTTTTTGCAGGATGTGCCTTCAAATGGTGGAGTATTTAAACATTAGCTAAATGTCTGCTCACACTTACTCACCATATACATGTATAGAAAATGTAATTGAAGAAGAATCTGTAAACCTCATTAAAATATTGTGAGATTATAACTGTCCCCTAAGTTTCATCGAACGCTATAGAAGCGTCAAAATATGAACCCCGGTCGTCCAGTCACTTCTCAGCAAAGATGTTTAAATATCTTTAGAGTCCAGCGATGATTACTAAAGTCAGATTATCGAGCGAGGACTCGAAATGGCAGCAGCTAGATTCACTTCCACTGAAGAAACGAGATTTGTGCTCTCCTGAAGGATTTGAAAGCATCTGAACAATTGTGTAGCATCCCTGTATGTTTATAACTTGCATGTGTATTTAGTCAAACGTACATAGAGAGGAATCATCAGTCTCTAAAGTTCAAGGCTACAGAACATATCCAACAGTGGCGACAACTACAATTAAAATCACCTGATCCAGTTAATCCTGATAATGGATGTCCTACGTCATCTATTGCAAAGCGCATCATAAAGACAGGTCATAAAGTTGATTTCAGTTGTGCTTTTCAATAAGTTTGGGTCATTTACTTAAATTTACTTTAGCGATAAAAAAGCTTAAACCTATTTTATTTGTTAAAAATTATTTGTTATTAATTTGATTTGGCCTTGATAGTTCAATTTAAGATCTGTGGTTCATTTTAGCGAACAATATTTTCACCTGTGTTTTATTCTGACCTCATTTTCCTACCGGTCATCTGTGATCACGATCGGCAAACACTTTCATCTATATATATATATTGATAAATAATGCAATCCTTTATATTCTGTTGCCTTCTATATAAATATATATGATAAGTAGGTATGTGGTTGGAATGGCCAAAGTGCTTTACGCAAATACGAATACAGATGAATAACGTCTTCTTATAGTTCTCTCAAAACTCAAAAATGGATGGCTTGTCACCTAGTTTAACTACTGATGAAATTTATTCAACACTGGCCCTAAGGACTATTTTCATGACACTAGTAAATTCATGATGAACAACCAAAATATCACAGTTTATATATTTTCTTTTTTTGCAGTCTTTAACGGCATCATAACATATCGATATATACTACTGTTTCATATTAGTAGCTTGGACTCACTTGCACTGAACGGTGTCGCTTGTAAGCTAGATTGGGGTGATCGAAACTCAAACAGTCATTCAGGTCGTTAGGCCTTGAGTTCATCAACGATGTACCCGCTTACGCCGAACTAAGAAACCATTATATTCTCTGCAATATTAACACTGATAGTTGAACAAACAAAATCAAGCAAGTCCCGGAGATTATAACTCGACATCTTTTCCTTCACCAGTCCAAGAATCACAATTAACAACTTCGTGACTAAGTGATATGTAGAATTTATCACATCTAATACTGGGTGGAGTGGGTTGTGCTACTTATTTACCTTAGGTAGGCCGATTCAAGATCCTAATTAGCCAGAAAAATGAGCTGATTCCAATCTCACGCGACGATGCAGATAGTTTCTAATCAACTAATTTAAATTTCTGCCTCCATTAAATTATTAAAGCACCCAGCTCTCATAATCTGTTCTTTAAAAAACATCGACATCAACTGAAAAAAATCAAAGAAGAATGAAAAATTGATCGTGCTACGACTGAATAAAGTCCCTGGAATTGTTCTATTAGACGAACCAGACTATCTGCATTGCTTTTTTTTCCTTCACGTTCCCCAGTGGAGCGTAGGGCTTCAAGCTAGAAAGCTTGAAGTTTCTGTAGCAGTATTTGCTTTCACAGGATGGTGTTGCTAGCCTCATCCCCAACCTTTCCTCTTTACCAGCATTATTTCTGGCTTAGTGAGGTAAAGGAGTGCGTCACTGGGCGGGGTTCGAACTCTGGACCACGTGCATGGTCGGTGAGCGTCCTAACCGCTATATCACCGACGCACATAATCTGGATTAACTCTCACTGATTCTATCTTATGATGAAAAATTTCTAAAATACTCACCTTAGACAGATGCCACTGAACAAATGGAGCTAAAACTGACAAAGATATATCAATATGCAATTCGTTTCATTTAGTTTTACAAAGCTGTTTATGAATGGCATACCTAAGGTACTTGATTAAGATGTTTCACTCCACTCAATATAAGGTATGATCAATTCATATCCCCTATTCGCAAAATGGCTGGAAGAGATTCTTGGACTGGTGAGGAAAAAAATTGTCGATATACAATCCCCCTTTGTCAAATTCAGAGAGTCGAATCATTTCAAACCATCCAAAATCTGACTAGTTACTGGTAATACGGCGAGTCAAATTTCTCGTCTACAAATTACGCATTTCGCGGTGAGAATTCATCGCGACTTAAAAGCAAATTTTCGCTTCTAATTGTTTACTTTACAAATGACAGGTTAGATAATTTATTCCTTCCCCATCTTCAACTATAATTGATTTTGTAACTGGGAGATATAACTTATAGTATGAGGTATGAAATATTTGTATATATGTGATTCAGTAGAATAATAGTTTTCTAGAGTATTTTTGTTGTGCTTTCTCCGTTGTCAGTTCTTTAGAAATAATATTTGTTTTATTACCTAACTGCTACATTCAAATTGGTAGATAGTTTAGTAATGAAGCTTTCATCTCCCCGTTAGACTTTATTATCGGCACATAAGTTACTGAGTGGATGCGAAACATTAGAATTTTTTGTCACATAACTAATCATCTCTTCTAAAAAGCCTTGAATATGGGTTTCGTAGATGATTTATTTCTTATGTCCCGCAAATTTCAAAGAATTATAAGCGAAATCCACAAAGCTGGTATAAGAGATGGGGAAGACATTACTTCAGTTGAACACGGAGAAGGAACAGGTGATGTAAGTGCTCAATTATCATCAATAACAAATACCGCTCACTGTCGGTGGGAGAAATCTATAGGAAGTCGTCTCCTTCGCGTGCTTCGGCAGCATCATTTCAACCACAGGTACCACAAATGAAGATGTTAAAGCTGACAAAGATCGGTTCGGAAACCATGACAAGTTTTTCATTACTGTGAAATTATTTTGGAGATTTGCTGTATACGGCAAGAGGAAGAATATAGGCATTTACATGGTTCAGAAAATAAGCACACTTGTCAACAAAAGCACGAATCGCAGACTTTCATGAACAGATACCCTTTTCATTGGCTTCTGAAGATGACATGACCGTTTGAAAAGGATAATGAGAAAGTAACTCAGGCAAGTAGCGGACCAGCTAACAAGGTATTACCCACAAAATATACAGACAAAATGAAAAGTAACACCACGCCCTATATCCTCTGGTGAAAACCAAATATTAAGTGACAAGTTAGACTTTCGAGGATGATATGCAGTGGAAATAAAAGCGTACGGATCTTCATTATCATTTCGACTTCCTGTACGAAGGCTTCAACGAGGTTAACGTGATATTATTCTAGTGGTTAGTAGCATAATTCAAGGCATATGTTTCATCCTTTACTGGACTTATCCGATGTATGTGTCTCTATCTCAGTGGCTGTACCTTTACTCACTGAGATGCATGTACATCCAGATGACAGTTATTAATTGGAACGGAAAATGTTTCATGAATTCTATTATCAAGCGTCAAAAATCAATTTATACATTCCGAATTAGGCAAGCGAAGTCCGGTATCCATTTGTTGATCAAACTATGCGTTAATCAAATTATTTTTCTTATAACAATTATTATGATGAAAAATCTTTAATAAAAGCATCTTTTTAAATGATTTCATATCAAAGTTTAAACTACCAGTAATATTACAACAATACACTACAAAATTAATCTTACCTGAGATTATTGCTCTCCATGTTGTATTCAGTTCACAGTTTGTCTTCAGCCTCTTTGTATATATTCTTAAGTTGGGATTTAACCGACCAATTGGCTCACTGGAATGTTTGCTGTGAGTGTTTAAAGTCATTTGCTTGGTGTATGCATGGTGTTTTGATGATTTAAATGTTAAGCCATTTAAACAAATAGCAGTGTATAATAAGGAATGATTTTTGCCTGTAAAATAAAATAAAAACAAAATGATATGGTTCCATGTTGGGTGTTATGTAGTAGCTTTGAGGAGGAAAAATCTATACATTACTAAGGTTTTGCTCTTGTTAGCAATGTTCTGAAGTCTTCATTGGCTTTATAGATAACGCTACATTGGCTGAAGCGATTACTTATGGCTTGAATCTCAGTGGTAATGCAATTACTCACCAGGAATCACGGACATCTCTAGCTGCTAGTCAGCATTATTACGAAATGCGAATCCTGTACTCAGCAGTAAGTCACCATTCACCAAGTAACCTCATTTACCTCGCGTAGTTTCATAGCAAATTCTAGAACAGGGGGAGAGGGAAGGCTGAGCGTGAGGCTGGCTAGCTTAGCCCAAAGAATCAATACAATCGCTGCAGAAATTCAAAAGCTCAACCAAAATAGGAGGCAGTAGGCTCACCTGAAGTAGTGAGAGAAGTTATATACTAGTGTCATATGACTAAATTCACTAACTCCATGAAAACCAAGTTTTAAAACTATGTAACTGCTACTGAGTGGAGATTATTTGGCCTAGCTGAAAACGTTTATATTCTTGAAGTAATTATTTTCTTTCAGTTCAGTGGATGACATAAACGTGCGTTGTTATTGACAGTTATTTTTATGCTTTATGTCAGGAAGAGGTGAGGTAATATATTTTGTATCAGCTTTCACAATAATAAAATAACACTGGCTAACCAAGTGTATTGAGCAACACTTGTTGTCTGAGAACTAATGATACAGTCTGGTTGCTCATTCATGCCTAGATAGATCGAGAGGGGCTTAAACCTATGACTGGAAAAGTAAACTGAAAACAGGAAATGCTCACCAGGGTCACGATGCTCACAATGACTGTCTAATTTCCCAGTTATATTGCATTCTTCAAATAAGCCTCCACATTAAATGCTTCAGAATGTCTAGGTTGAATCCTATGTTGTTAGTGGTACCATTCACATGATAAATGGTATTCAGATGTTTATTAAAACGAGTCTTTCTCATACTTTAGGCTTAGTCTCACTGAAATGATAATTTTTTGATCATCTTAGCCAAACGTTAGCTGACTAGCATCTACAAGAACCTAACGAAAGTACAATCTGCAGTCAGAAGGTCATGGATTTTGGCCACGGTGGGTATGTACTGTAGAAGAGCCCAAAACCAGGAGGAAATAGCCTTTCAGTACTTCTCTGACTAACATCATTTCGTGGTCACACTTGAATCGATTTTAACAACCTTGGATTCCTGATAAGTTGGATTAGTGTTTAACAAATAATACCATTTAGGTACGCTTAGCAATGAGGTATATTTTTTGTATGGGTGGTGGTGGTACTATTTTTCTTGTCCACCTAAAGACCTAGTGTCTATATTTTAGGGAATGGATCATGTTTCCATTGGTTTCTATCTATCATGAGGTTCGAAAAATCCTTCCATGAGGAAACTTCATAATCACGCTACTAAACTTTCCTTAGGTTATATGTAATGGGTTAACCTATAGGTGAGTACGATTTTCAAGGAAGCATGTTGAACATGTTTAGCATCATACAGTTTGCATACTTAGTATCATTACAAGACTTCGGTGTTTGTAATGGGACTTAGTAGACAATTAGGCTATTGTTATTGATTAAAGTACCTGAGTAAGTTAAGTAGATTCACTCCCAATACACAAACTAGAGGTCTGTCATATGACAGTGAGCTTATTTTCTCAGAAACCCAAATGATCTTCATATAACTATAAGGTACATGGCGTTAGACGCAATATTTGTCAAATTGATTGCCCTTGGGGCTATCATAAGCAGATTCGTCCTTCCTCTTATTAGCTGGGATGACCATAGACCAATACAACTCTCATGGAACTACCTCAGATACATTACATGATCACCATGGAATAAGCAAGAGATTTTTTCTGGCCGTTTAAGATGACTCTGAATGAATCGCATCAGTGAAGTTAACAGTATGTTCGCCAGCTCAGTACATCTTGATTTGGTCAGCAGGGCGTCAAATGTTTCTTTCATGGAATTGAAGTATACTCTTAAATTCAGAAAATTGTCCACATGAAAACTCATAATTTAGATAATCTATTAAGGGATTTCATTGCAGTCATCCCTTAACACCTCTAGGGCAACTCCACAAGGTGTTGCTATTTTGCCTTATTTTTACAACTGGGGGCAATTTTGATATATTTGGTTACAGCTGGTGGCCCGCAGTCTAATTCCAAACAGACTTTGGTTTAATGGTGTTCAAAATATAGTTAGGCTGTAAGCTAACTTACCTGCTCCTCAAGGGGTTCAAGTGGACAGACTCATTACTTTCTTGTTTTGACCATTGTGGATACCAATGGGAAATTTCTATTAGAATATATAGATTAGAAAGAGCGAAGAGTCTCTTTACGATGAATATATCATCTAACTGTACTGTTGTAGTGCGTGCTACTGATATAACGTATCAATAGTATATAAAGAGACGTTCATTGGCTTAAAAAACATCAAATAGCAGGGAGATACATTTGATGTCAGAGAAAGCAAAGGATACAGTGTTGTGGAGATACATGGTAGATATGAAAGGAACACAAAGAAACACAATATGAAAAATCATATTGAATTCAAAACATAAAAGTGACAAGTAAGACAAGTGCCGTAAATTGTTTAAAGTGAAATTATTAATAATAGTCGACATAATAAGGCAAAGATATACAAATTGAATGAACAAAACAAGAATTAAATGTTTCCAGAGCAGAAATAGGACAGTGAAAGGAAGAGTGGTTGAAAAAGCTTACCTGTATAGGAAGATCTGGGTTGTCTATTTCGATGATCAAAGCTTCGGTAGTACAGATGATTCACATACATGTTGATTTGTGCATGATATTTTACGCCTCGCAGATGCCTTTAAAATAAGAGGCTTTAGAAATAAGGTGACAAATGTCAACCAGTATGCTCAGTTATTGAGCTTCTCATGGCCCCACTTCTGCCCTTTCGAAACCATATAGGATAGTGCTCTTACACACCTTTGGACAAACACCGAGTCTAGTGACTTATGTGCCTAGTTCACCTGTAGTAAGCGAACGCACAAAGACTTAATGCAGGGCGAGATCTTGTCCTTCAGGTTTCTGAACAGTAATCGTCAGCTATAAAACACTATACTTAACAATGCTGTGGTAAATGTCTTTTTCAAGGACTGTAAGATCCTTCTTTTAAGAATGTTAGCAGCTAAGTCACTTTTAAATGCAAGGTTTACACATAACATTTACTTTGTCATAGAAGTTAAATCATATTTCATAGGTTTTGACTGTATATTCCCGTCTATAAAGTGTGGTTGTAATACATTTATCATTAAAACTTTTCTTAGAAGATATAACGCTTCCTCCACAGCATCACGACTTCATATACACCGAATGCAAGTGATAAGTGATCAAATAAGGTTCCGTTTTCGACCATTGGGTGACCAGCCATACAGCTTTGTAATAAAACGTTGAAAACAATCTTCTCCGAGTCAATTGTGGATATGTTTACAGTTGAACTGTGTGGCTATTAATCAACCCATTTCCAGCCATTTATAATTTAGATGAATCCTCAGACGTCGACAATGATGAAAATCTATTTTTACCTCTTCCTTTACATCAGTGATAAACCGAGCTTTAAGAAACTTTAGAAATATTTCACAGTTGCTAATTTCATTTTTATGACTTATTAAGTATAGAACAATTTCAAAATGTTGAATTGTAGGCCACCCGTATAAACCGATGTAACCAGATAAAATGTGGAGAGTTCACATCCATTACACCTGCTCTTACTGATTCCTGACAATTCTGTACTATATTTTACCATTTTTTTGAAATCTATGCGCCTTTTTCAGCATGGAACACTGTGCAAACATTCCATTTACTCATGATTAATCTTTCATAGACTCAAGCCTCAACGGCTGACTAGCTTATCGAAGAATTTCACCAGCCGGCGTCATTCTGTCTCTCTGATTCTGGCGTATAGTACATAGTTTCACTACCTGATTTTCATATTAATATTAAAATTAGGCATATGGGTTTTAACAATGCTGCAGGTGAGCCTATTATTTTACATTTTTCTATGTTTTTAAGTTTCTGTAGCTGGTAGGTTGATTTTCCAGGGTACAGTAGCTTCCTCTATTTCTAGTCTTAGGACCAATCTAGTAAACTAGGTGATATCATATAAAATTGAAGACATACAAGAGATAATCAACAAACTAAAAGAAGAACCAGGGAAGAAAGGACTTTTGGAGAACATGGAGAAGACAGAGGTGATGAATATGACCAGCGAACAACAAAAAGACTGAAACCCTAATGACGGGAGAAATTTGAATGAGGTCCCTTCCTTTACCTATTTGGATACTGTCGTTTAGGCAATGGACCTTACTGATGGGGATGAAAAAACTAGGATCAGAAGTGCTAGACACACCATCATCAATCTGAAATCAGCGTAAAGAACAAGATTCAGATTTCCAAAACTAATGTCAAGTCAGTTCTTCTATTTGTCCCTAAATGCATTTCGAATGGGTTGCTGCAGACTTTTTATAAAAAGCTGCCTTCATTCCATGCTGAAGATCAGATGGTTAGGCAGAAGGGATTAGCATCAAGGAACTCTGGCAGCAAACTAACTCAGAATCTGTTGCCCGACAAATATGTTGAGTTAACTAGAGAGAGAGTGGGAACACTTTGAGGAGAAAATTGAGTGAAATCGCACTCCAGGAACTCAGGTGGTACTTCAGTGCAAGATAACTAGTTAGGTATGGGTCTGAAGGTGAAACAGTGGTGATTTTTTGAGGAGGAGATGAGAGTTTGTAGATAGTGGCCTGTATGAACCAACTATTTGCAGGTAATGTGATTCAAGTAGCAACCTGAAAATGTTTTATATCACTTCGACTACTTAAATTAATTTATAATAGCTAAGTTTTTACTTGAAAAAAAAACTGTGCCAACTCACTTGTCTTAACTTTAATAGTTGACTTCCTGTGTCTGTCTTGAAATGTATATAGGAATGTATTTGAAGTGGTTTTCTGTACACCTGAGGTAAGTTTCACCGGAACTTTAGTGTCTTCTGCGTATATTGGTTGTGCACGATGTATATGACTTATATTTATTTGACAAGTTTGATTGCCCCAATTGGCCGTGCTGTAATGAAATGGCTTTGAAAACTGGAACAGAAATGTATAAACATTACAAGTACTAATCATATTATTATTGCTGTTATTATTATTAATATTACCAATGTAAAACATTAAACACTAACCCTAGATTCTACCGTTGGAGAGTATTCAGGGTGTCTTCGTTATTATAGTGGAATTAATATCATGTATGTATTCCTGAGTAATTTTTATGAGCTAATTAGGATACTCGCTATCACAGTGCAATCTGCGGTGTTGTAAGACAGCTGGCGGCGAGCAACAGGAATCAGAAAGCTCCAATTACATGGCTGCTGGGAGTAGTCAACAGGAGATTGCTTTCCACTGGGAGATTCGTATGTTCACCACTCAGTGCTGCAGTCAGAGATCTCACTGCATATCTGACTTCATAAATATTGACAAAATAACAGGTAAAATAATTATCCTAGAGTGCCTGTATAAGCTGTATCATACAGTCGTGAGTCTTCATGATGCTACGAATGGTTACATACACAATTCATGATCTGTCATATTTATCAGGTTCTCATAATTCTCAATGTATTCAATCCTTCTCCGGTATATTTCGTACTTTTGAAGTTCTATTGCATCTTTCCTTTACATTTATGTGTACTTCATGAGGTTTCATAACTTCAGCTACTGTACGTTTGAGTAAAGTTCAGTCGTGATACATGCTTATGAAAGGAGAGTTGCATGTTGAATAACTGAGTCATTATGTTACTAAATTTAGCTCTAGGTGATCAGTTTTGGTATTGTAGAGAGCGTCAGTTGTGTTATAGTCCGTAATGACAAGTACAAACAGTTAAATGAGACAGGCTGTTTAGAATAAACCAACTATCGGTTTCAAATAAATTTATACGAATCAGCAATGCTATCTCTACATTTTATCTTAGTGTAGTCAGAATACGATTAATTAAAAAATGACATAAGTTATGTACCAAACGATCCTATTGATAATTCATTTGCTTCGGTGTTCATTAGTGCAATCAGATGTAGCAGGTACCTGTTTTACTTGCGTAAGTTTATTCTTGTGGCAGGTGTTGTCGTATCTGTGATCTTAACTCCGAAAAGACATTTATTCACACAATATATTGAAGTGCACTGACTGTTACTTTCCAGTTGGATTTTAACTTCATCGAATTCAGTCATAAACTGTTCATTTGTACGTTTCACGGTGGCATATACCTTGAGACGAAATAGTCGTAGGAAAGACTCAATGAATAATGCCGTAAACGTTGATTTTCAGGTGTTGGTCAGAAAAGATTTGAATAATTTCTATGTTGATCATGGACTGACTAGATTTAGAGAATCACTTTTTCCACGGAATATTGGATAACTGTTCCGTCTCTATTTGGCACTCTTCTACAGAACGCAGTTATGACTGTATTGAAATTAAACCAAGGACTTCCAGGTTACAATGCTACTTTGGATCCTGTCCAGACACTGGGACAGAATTGAATGATCCATCAACTCTAATTTTACCAGTTTATGTGATAGCTCAACTGCCAGTTAATTTCACTGGCGAGTATCTGAAGGTGCGTCCAACCTGTGAGACCCTGGTTATCTTGAATTCCCTTACTAGGGAGCTCTAGGAAAATTTCTAAGTGTTGATTTACGGGGATTCAATTGATTTGGATTCTTATCAATAACTAACTTCAATTAGGGAACCACTGAAAACGACAAAGCGATGAACCCTTAACCTGAATGCGCTGCGTTCAATGACTGGTTGAGTGTTGGTTGCGAGGGGCTGAAGAGTTCCAAACAAGGACGAAACAGGTGGTCAAGTGTTCCTTGGTCATCGATGGTTCTCTAGGGGAAGAAAATTTATGATTGAAATTGAAAAGTCAACTTTTTCAGTTCGTACCACTGGAAACGGTGTCTATTTAAACAAAGATTTTGGTGCACCCAATTTCTTCATTTTTCTGTCGTCTCTCACAAAACTTATTTATACAAATGCAATATAACTTCTTACCTGTACAATAATATATTTCTCTTCTTTATGTCGCTGAAGTATAGGCGGTTCTTTATCAAATTCTTTGAAACTTTTCAGTTTGTATAGCGACAATGCTTTATCAGAAGATTTATGTACAATTGCATCCTTCCATAGTGGTAATTCTGTCCTATGCTCCAGATGAATATTCTCATTCCATAATAAAAGAGCACCTCGTTTCTGAAATAATTTTTGACGGTTCTGAATACGATCTTTCAGTTTGTCAATTTTACGACTTCGATATTTCTTTTCATTCTCTAAGTTGATATCGTATTTTAACGGTGAACTATACCAAATAGTATTCGGTGAGACTGAACTATCCAAAGTTAGCCATGTTTCTATTGTGTACAGAATTTTGGGGGGACTGTGTTGGATGTGGCACGTATATGTCCCATTGTTCAGATCAAATTCAGGGTTTAAAGTAAATTTCAATGTTTTACCTAAAAAAAGAAGTAACGATGATTCTAATAAAAATGTTTTACATAAAATGTATCTACTTATTCATATGTAAGTAGTATAAATTTTAATATTACAATCTGTTAATAATTTTAATGAATTTTACCTTGTAGGCAGATTTCAGTAGCATTCGGATGTCTACTCGTATATATTTCACATTTAGCACCAAAGTAATCCAGACAACTTGGACTAGAATAACAGTCGACACGACAACAATGAGGTTCTAAAATATAACGAAATAAAGAGAAGCTTAATTATTATTCACAGTTGTTTTCCGGAATTCAAATCATGACTGACTCACTAATATGATGGGAATTAATCTCAAAAATAGATAGTTTTTTATGATGTGGTTGTAAAATAGCCGAAATTCATCTACCATTTGTCTTCCCCAGAATGATTTTTCAGTGAGCAAGGATAAAGCAGAAAACTGCTGCCTAGTACTGTGTTACTAATAACAGGCATTTACAAATAACGGATGTGTAATCATATAAATGCCACTAAACTGAGATCCTCAGCAGTTCAAGTCTACATTCTTCTCAGGCAGTGGATCTATACTGTTATGCTTTCTGAAACTAAGTGACAAGAGATGTTCACCTAACCTAGCTAGTATCAGTTTGTAGAGAGTTTCTTCGGGATCTCTCCTCTCCCACTCAGACCCTTTCAGCCCCTGATCTCAGGTTTCTTTGTAGAAATTCTTCAGTGATTAGTTTTATATGCATTCCTCTTTAAAGATATAATGGAAAACAGTAACGTTCTCGTATGTACTAATTCTGTCGGCACTGACAAGCTAGGTGTAAACGGTAGAAGGCTGTGTTAAAAATCTATGGTCAAGATGCAGGATACTAAGTACCAATAATTCTAGTGGTTTAAAGTACTTATACCTAAAACAAACTATTTTTTGACATTTTGAGACCTTTTAACACTAACATATCTATAATTGTATATATTTTTGGATATTGTATATATTGATTGGTGCGCTGCACTTGCTTAGTTACATAAAACTCTCATATCTCTGGTGTTTCTGACCACGAAGTTTTGGAAATTATTGCAATCCATTTACTTTCGAACACTAAACCTGTGGATATAATCTTGTTGGCTACTTATAACTATAACTAACTGTTTGGCATTTTGTGACCTTTTAATACTAACCCATACCTGTTATTGTATATATTGTTGGATTTATATGTTCGAGTTGGCTCAAGTCAGTGAGTTTATCATTTTTATATCATTTTAGTTAACTGTGCTGAACTATATTGCATGTTGTTTTATTGTATAGTTGTTGTCGCTTTTTGCCCTTTTTGCTGTGAATTGTTTTCCTTTTGTTGGTGTTGTTCTGATTGTTTTATCCCTTGTTATCTGATTTTAAGGGGAGCAACCCAAAAGGTCGCTTCTCTCTAAACTTTATCTTAATGTAACCATTCCTTTCTCAGGCGTGAGGCTAGCAACCCCACCCCGTAACCAATTTTGCTACAGAATCTTCAGCACGATGAATCTCTTTGCACCAAAAGAAAAAGTCTGTGTGGGGACATGAAACGTCCGCACCATGTAAGAGATTGGAAAAGCTCCCCAGATTGCAAACGAGATGAAAAGATACGGAATCCAAGTACTGGGAATATGTGAAAGTAGATGGAACGGGAGTGGACCCCCCAAACTGTCAACGGAAGAGTCAGTGATCTACTGCGGTCACCCAGAAGATAACCACACGCACACCGAGGGCGTGGCTATCATGATGTCACAAACGGCAACGAAGGCCTTGATGCAATGGGAGGCGATCTCGTCCAGCATAATGACCACCAGATTCAACTCCAAAGGTAGAAAAGTGTCAATTATATAACGTTATGCACTCACAAACAACGCAGACCTCGAAAAGAAAGAAGAATTCTACAGACAACTACAGGTAGCAATGGAAAATACTCCAGCTGGTGACATTAAAATACTAATGGGAGACATGAACGCCAAACTGGGACCAGACAACACAGGAGGGGTACTCATCATGGGTAGAGAAGCTCTAGGAGAAATGAATGAAAATGGAGAACTCTTCGCCGACTTCTGCGCCTTCAACGAACTAGTGATTGGTGATTGCAAGATGATGTTACAGGACTGGGCTACATCGAGGCCTAGTTTAAAAATAGGGAGTGAAGTGGTAGAGCACGTTGACCGCTTCACTTATTTGGGAAGTACCATCAGCCCCAACGGGCTGATCTCTGACGAAATCTCAGCATGAATACAAGGGGCTCGTTTCGCATTTGTTAGTTTACGCCGACTCTGGCGTAGACGAGATGTTCGACTATCGACCAAAGGGCGGGTGTACTGCTCATCAGTCCGCTCCGTCCTCCTGTATGGTTGTGAGACCTGGCCACTGAGAGTGGAAGACATGAAAAGACTAGCTGTCTTTGATCATAGGTGCCTGCGTTCTATTTCCCGTGCAAAGTGGCATAATAAGGTGAGCAACATGGAGGTTAGGCGTAGAGTTCTAGGTAAACAGGGGAAATCAATCGACGAAGTCGTGAAGTTACAAAGACTGAGATGGTTAGGACATGTGTTACGTATGCCAAGCCATCGCCTCCCTCGACGAGCTATGTTAGCGGATATAGGGTCAGACTGGAAAAAAGCTAGCGGCGGTCAAACAAAAACTTGGCGTCAGTCAATGAAATCCACAACAGTTGGTCTAAGCCACGTAGGAAGGTGTAGACTTCCAGGCTGGGGTCCTCGGGACGGTAAAAATCTATGGTTGGAAACAATTGGTGACATGGCTCAAAATCGTTCTCAGTGGCGCAGATGCATTCACTCCCTGTGACTTATGATCTTCAATGAAACTGTTTTGTATTTCTTTATTACTCTTTTGTCTCACACCTCTGCTCACTGTTTCTATTATGCTTTTCTTGTACTTTCTTCTCTTGCTTCGCGTGCTACACGGAATGTGGCGACTTGAACTTCCGCACATTTGTGCAAAGTTCTATGTCGAAAACAGACAGACAGACAGTGATTGGTGGCAGTGTATACAAACGCAAAGATATTCACAAGGCTACATGGGTTTCACCAGATGGGCAAACCAAACGCAAAAAATTTACTTCATCTCAATCTCAAGAAATTGGAGGCACAGCCTACTGGACACAAAAGCAAGAAGAGGAGCAGACGTTGGCTCAGACCACTATCTCGTACAAGGGACAATCCAGATCAAATTAAAAGCTTTCCGGGAAACAGGAGCTGCAGATAGACTACAAGTCAAGTTCAGCACTCAAAAGCTGAAGGACCAGGCTACAAAGGACATCTTCATTGCAAACATAAGGGAAAAAGCCGAGACACAAACCAACAGCGAAGAGGTCAGCGTCGAAAAGCACTGGTACAACTTGAAAACGGTGTGGAGTCAAACCTGCATGGAAGTTCTAGGCAGAAAGAAGAGGCAGGACAAACAGTGACTCACTATGGACACTTGGAAACTAATAGAAGAGAGAAGGACAGTGAAACAAAAGATTATCCAGTGCACTGACGAGCAACAAAAACAGGAGCTGAATGCAAGCTACAATACACTGAACAAAAGAGTGAAGAAAAGTGCCAGGGAAGACGAAGGAAAATATTATGAAACCATGGCAAACGAAGCAGAACAAGCTGCAGGCAAAGCAGACCTCGCCACACTCTACCAAACAACTAGGCGCCTATCGGGTAAAACTTCGACACAGATTAAGCCAGTAAGGGATGACAATGGAAAGTCAATCACCGAAGAGGTAGAGCAAAAAAACACTGAGCTGAACACTTCAAAAGACTTCTAAATCGACCGCCACCTACAACACGCCCAACAATACCAACAACGGAAGCAGAACCACCAGTGAACATTGACCCTCCGACAAAATCAGAAGTCCTGAATGCAATCAAGATGCTAAAAGTTGGAAAAGTAGCAGGGCCGAATGGCAGAAAACAGAAGGCAATGGAGACGCGCAGCTGAAGCCCTATGTTCCTCTAGGAATTAAAGGATATAATAATAATATAATAAAGTAATTTTACCATCTGAGAGGTCTCACTTCTACTACTCCAAACAAATGAAGAGTCTGTTTTGCACTTAGGCGTTTTTTTCTGGTCATCAATTACTACTGCTTGAAGTCAGCAGTTCCCAAATACTTGTTCTAACCAGTATTATGAGCCATCTTTCAGTTCTACTCTCTTCTACTTGGACAGTAAGCATTGAAAAATGGTAAACAAGATTCTTTTCCCTAAATTTTTAATTTGGTAGTAGATCTGCATCAACAGTAAATTTAAAAAAACATAACTAATATGTCGTTGAATTTTGGTTTTGAATTTCTACCACACGATATCCTCAATACCAAAGATGTTTGCAATAGGTCATGAGTTAAACGAAACTCTTGTATTTCAGTACTGAATGTGTTAGAATATGTAGAGTACACCGTTTAGGCATTAAAGGAGAAGCAAAACTCCGTGTATCTCTCCAAGCTCACAGAAGTGACATAATAATATGTGCGTGAATATCAAACTACTTGTTAGGATTATACTAAATATAAAAGACTCCTCAGCAGAAGTCAGGGACATTCGATAGATACTAACCGTAATTACTCACAAAGAAAGCATTGGATTCACTCTTATCCATAAGAGATGGGTGGGAAATCAAAATATTTTTTGACTTTACTTTGACGGACACTTAACAACAACCAATGGCATATATCTAGTCCTTCATTTGATGCAAACTGAATTCTATCAATCACGTCTACAATACGACCACCATGTTGGTTGGTTCACCATCGGGATTTACTCTTAATGACACTCCTCAATGAGGCATATAGGCCTTCAAGCATCAGACTTCATTTCAAAAAAGTTCATCTCATCTACTACAGTCTCCTATAATGGGGATCACATTGCAGATTAACTGACAGAATTCACTCAGTATCTACATGTAATGCTGATTACTGCTCATTAGTCGATCAGTGTAAGCTATTTGATTCGAACAAAAGGATACTCCAGAAATTGTTAGATGGTTGAAGGTTGTTGGCAGGAAGTCTTAGACCTAGGTTTCGTTCTTGTTAGCACTCGTCATCAAGATGTGTCTGCGACCTTTAAGCAATGCGCACCCTTTCTGATATTCAAACCAGAATTTCCTAGTTCAAGACTTCAGATATGCCTTGCTGACGTGCGCCAACACACACGAAACCAAAGTCTATGACTTCCAGCCAATTACTTTCAATCATCTAACAATTTCTGGAATATTCTTTTGTTTAAATTAAGTAGCTTACGTTGATCGAACAATAAGGAGTAATCATCATTACATGTAGATACTGAATGAATTCTGTCAGTCACTTTGCACTATGATCTCCAATATGGGAGACTGTAATAGATGAGGTGAAATTAGGTTTGAAATTAGGCTGGGTGCTTGAAGGCAGATATGTTTCATTGACGAGTGTCACTAAGAGTTCATTGGGATGGTAAGCCACATAACATGATGTTCGTATTGCAGACGTGATTGATAGAATTCAGTTTGTATCAAACGAAAGGATTAGACATATGGTATTACTTGTAGCTCATTGTCTGTCATGGTATACTTCAAATATGTTCTAATCTTCCATTTATCTCTTAGGAATTACACTGATTGACATGTTTTGTTCATATTCATGAATTCATTTATTTCAGAGTACTTTTCAGGCTTGTTTATACAGTCAAATACATACTCAAAGAAAACGAAAATATAAATCACATACCATTAACCGCCCATAAATTCTGTACAATATCATTAACTTGGAGTAAATTTTCACTAGTTACTCTGTGATTATTATTATTCATATTATTAACATCATTGTTGTTATTTATCCCGATGTCACCATGACTACCGATTACATCATTCTGAAGGTTTTGTCTTACACTCATTTCAGATTGAACATTAATATTATTATTATTATTAATATTGTTTTTTTCAACATTCCAACAAGACTGTTTCAGACATGTCTGACAGATACGACGTTGTGTATCACAATGAATATCTTTTAAATATGATTGACTTTCAATAATTTCTTCTTGAAATAACTGATTGACCAAAGGTGAATTAATTGTACAATAGAAACTGTTCAACTGTGGAGGTAGATAGGAAGCTTTCTAAAAATTTATGCGTGGAAAAAAAGGAGAAGGAATTGTAAAGGAAAGATTGTAGCAAAACAGTCAATTTGAACGAGATCAAACAATTCTATAGGTGGATGAACAGATGCAACTTGTTGTGTTAGATAAGAAAAAAAACTAACTAAAATATTCATGCCAAATAAACCAAAAGAGCATTTAATTGAAACAAAAGCAATCATTCAGCATTCAACTGGTGTGCTGCCTAATGGTCGTGCCTTGATTTGATGTATTAAAATTCATGGGTTGGTAACAGTGCATCCAAAAACGGGAACGCAGCTCCTGGTACTGAAATTTGCAGCTATTCCTAAGGTAACTCTCTTCATGAACCTAGAATTCAAATGTGGCATTGAAGCAAAAATTCTTAGCAACGATCCTTCTAAATATGTAATATAATACCAGTGGTTCTATCCTTACCTAACCAACTAGCGCCTTACCAACTCTGAACATTGGTCGTCCCTGCATGATGGCTTCAAGTGGTGGGTAGAGTTCCTCAATATTGTAGGAAAAGGACTTCAGATATGTCAACTATACGTAGCTGAATCACTGGCTATTTTCGGAGGCATAAACAGTTTGTCATAGGAAATAAGCGGACATTAGTAGTCATCACTTTTCACTTCAACATTTTTACAGTATATTATATGCGGTGGAATTTTTAAGTAAGAGTATGAAGATATTAAGTGAGATCAGACTGCGTAAGCTATATATAACATAAGCTTGATCACTAAGCTATGCAAACTATGGAATACGATAAAAGTCAGAAGCATCTACCTGAGGTGCACATTTTTTTCTATTTTAGTTCCTCCTATTAATTTTCTTGCAAATGGAATCAAAGGGATGCTATAATAATAGTAATGCTTCCTAATAGGTGATAAATGCTATAACGGTAGAAGAATCGTGCAAATCGTAGTTCCCCTGGAAGTCATTAGTTAAATTAGTTATCACTACATCACATAAGGATAATTACACCATACAGCCACTTCTTAGCAGTGATTAGTTCTGCTTAATTTATTTTTCTATTATATTTACTGACATGTGAAATTTCTTCAGAAAGTAAAATGTTAGTGTTCGAAAATTTGTGAACATTAATTAGGTGATGTCAGAACGCTCAACCAGTGACCCTAATGATGTTGTGTTTGCAATCCTATGGAGACCAAAGCTGCTGTTTCAGCCTCAATCGCTAAATGATGCAGTAACAGTCTGTTGAATGAAGTTAACCTCAGAATACTGGACAAAAATTTAATAATACCGACTAGAATCTAAAGAAAAGAAAATTTAAGGATCAGAGTCAAATGCTATCATGTTGATCCTCAAACGTGAATTAAAATCCTCGGTCACAGAAGATATAAGGTCCGTCTCATGATTACAATCATTTTAGGAGAGACTTTGAAGATATCCTCATTCAATGTTTTCAATCAGTAGTGTTTAGCATGGCGTTTGGAAACTGTGTCTGATGGTTATATGGAAATTAGTGATGTACTGATGAAGTTCTATCCAAGAAACAGTTTTCATATTCAGAGAAATTTATTTATCTGTCTTTAGGCACCGTTTCAACCATGGGCGGCATGTATGCGGCTGTCAAATACAGAATGGATCAGAAAGGCAGGACCGACGAAATTCATTAACTTCAAATTTGTCTGGAAATCTGCTGTACTCAGCATAAAGAACATGATTCAGATTTTCAATAAGAATGTCTAATCACTGATTCTATATGTCCCGAAAGCATTTTTGACAGGCCACTCCAGGCTTTTATTAATAACTGACTTCGCTCCATACTGATGGTAGGCCAGAAAAGATTAGCAACAAAGAACTCTGACAACGAATTAGTCAAAAACCTGTTGGATCAGATGTGCGCTGAGGGGAATGCTGAGTCAGATCGTGCACCAATAAGGCCTAGAGAGGAGCCCCAATGGTGAATTGTGATTTGAGCATTGGCTGAGGGTGACATTGAGGCGATGGAGAAGAAAGGAGATTAAGGCTGATGGGCAATCATACGGTAAGCTAAAGATGACTTCAAAGAACAGGGTAGAATGATGATGCACAAGTGGAGCCCTATGCTCCACTTGGAACTTAAACGATTATGTTACCTTCACTTATTCAGATAGGTCAGATAATATTTCGGACTATGAAATCCAACGGTAATAAAACACCAGATTTCAATAATCTGAAGTTTATCAACTTCAAAATTAAGTGTATTTACTCACAGTCCATTATAAGACTTTGTAGTTTGAAAAGCAAGTTGGACACCAAAACAGAACTAAGGGCAACCTTCGCCTGTACCATGGAATCAGCGTCAATCTGAGGGAACTTTAGTGATTCTTGAGAGTTTCGTGCTCGAGACGGGGTGAAAAATTTGAAGATTTATACAAGAATCAGTCTCTTTATATGCTGAGTTGGTTTTATACGTCTCCGAAGCTAATAGTGATTCTTGCTAAAATAAACAAGGGGGCGTATTTTCAGAATTCCTGTGATAATAAAATCTTCAATTTACACAAAGTGGACGAGAACTCCTTATAGAAAAATGCTGGGAGAATAATTGGTATTTGGACTTCTGCACAATAAAATGTTCACCAATGTCAAAGCCGAGATCATTTGTTCATAAGTAGTTCCTTCATGTTCTTTCTTAGGGAATAATTTTATAGGTATATATAACTCCGACCTACAACTTATGTGGAACTCAGAGTCGTGTAGAATGCAGTGAATACTTCTACATAACACGACAGATAAGAGGATAAATTCATTGTGCGTGTCATATTGTACATGCATTAGCAATCCTCACTATCATAGTTTGATTTGAGTTAACATGCATTAAAGCTTCATTTGCAAGTTATTCATGCATATTATTTATCTTGTAATCAACGTAGTACTTAAATAGAACAGTAGTGTAAAAAGAAATCTTCGCAATTTTAAATATTCTCTTGTCATGAATAGAAGTAGCCATTCAATAAATGAAAGAATAATACGCGGTGAGTTAAATGCAAAACATGTCATAACAAAAAGCACAGTCTTTATGCCACATCATTTTGAAACTCACATCTGAGACCAGTATTGCATGATCTAACTGAAAGTGGTGTTATAAACACAAACACCCACACCCCCACACAGATACACACAAACATTTGTATATACACAGCCACACAACAAAACAAAACAAACAAACAAAGAAGGAGAATTTGAAATTCATTTATACATATACATAAACAAAACAACAGAATTTTTATTCGTCAAAAGAGATTGATGTTTTGTTATTTCGTATATCTATTTATTTATTTTTGAATTTCATTAATATTAAATGTCAGTTCTACATGATTGATTTGAGTTGGATTTCATTCACAGTGTTAAGCTTCTTGGCAAATAAGTGTATGTTACTCACTGCAGAATGTTAGTATCTATCACTGCCGTGAAACTATCCTTTCATATTTTAACGACTTATATATATATATATATATATATGGTATTATATTTCCTTTTCAAATATGATTAATATTATTTTAAGGAAAGTGGTCAGGTTTATTTAGTTAGATTTTCATCACAAGCCACCATACGTTAGACATATCAGAGCATTGAGAGCAGTTGACAGCTATTGTGTCTTGTTCGAGTACTTCTCATTAATGCCCACCCAATGTTATATTACGAGTTGACACAGTTATAATTATAAAAGAAAAGGCGGAAAGTGAAGAATTACTCTTTTCGGCGATATCAATATCAAGCCGTACAATCGCATATATGTAGTAAGTTTTTATAGGAACAAAAAGAATATTTCCAAGGATGTGGCAATAGAACTGTAGACTTTAAATAGAGCATTACATAATATAGAAAGCGTTAGTCGGGTAGAAACTAGAATGAAAATAAATAAGTTTAATGACGTAATACAATTGACAGGGGTTGAGTAGAATTCAACCAAAATTTGAACGAAACTCAAGTTAACAACATGGGTAGAGATTTATGAGGCGATGGTAAAAGATAACATTACAATTAAGCAACAAAATCAAAAACTACATATTTAGTGTTTAGCTAGATCGGGTACACTGTAGAGTTAATGACTGAACAAACTTCTCTTGTATGCAGAGTTCAGGATTTAACATGTGAATCCTTTGAAACAGTTTGATTCGTACGCTTTTAGTGAGATTCCCACGTATTCTGTTGATGAATTTGGAGTTAGTTTGTGGGTTAGATTGGTGTTTAGATTCGTTCAGGTGCTCACCATGAAGGTAAGTGTTCCTTGATACGTTTGGATATCAAATGCTACGTGCGGCCCACAAACCTAGCTTCACACAAGCAGGTGATTCGATATATGCGCAATGATGAGGCCAGCAAGCATTGATAGAATACCCTTCACGTTTATACAAACAATTGGTTTGGTAGAGAAACTTATTCAAAGTTCATCTGCAAAGAAGGTTTTCTTCAGTAACCAGAACAAGCATTTTCTCAGTATTTCTGCTTATGAGTCTTCATTGAATTGTAGACTCAAGTAGAGGCGCTTTTTGGCAACAAGAAGTAGTGGCGATTTAAGTGGTTTAGGTTTCATGGATCCATTAATTAGATAGAATTCATGGGTCGTCAAATTCAAGCCTAAATGCCTAAATGGACAACAAGTTTACTTTCACAACTCGAAGGTCCCAATTCCTGTCCCTAATGAGGAGACTCAGGATAGAAAGAACGAGCTGTTTAGAGCTCTTTAGTTTTCGATGATCTCAGTAACTGATGCTGGTTCACGATGAAAATTTGATACTTGGATTTAATCCGAAATCTTCACAAATAGTATACTCTGAATTATATTTGTTTATTTGAATTAGATATAATGAAATTTAATAAAAATGTATGAGAGGATCGGTTAAGTGCTTATCCAAGGTGATTCAGCGTATTTGTAGTACTGTTGCCGTAGATGATGCCAATAAAATATTGATGGATACGCTTGCCAAAAACAAATGTCCTCTGAAATTTTCTAATCAGCATAGGAGTCAGTTTGTAGATCCGTCGTC